AGCCCTAGACTAACAAAGAACTAAGTGTCACTGAGTAGATTTCAACTCAGAATGACCCTGTAGGGCGGTGTATATATAGCTTTTGGGCTGTGACATGAAAACCTTATGCTGAGTGAATTAAATCAGACACAAAAGAACTACTACCATATATACTCGAGTATAAACTGACCCAAATATCTGCTGAGGCACCTAATTTTACCACAAAAACTTCATTAAAATTGTGCTGGAAAACTCGGCTTATACTTGACTATATATGGTATTATACAATCCAGCTTCAATGAAATATCTAAACCAAACCAAACTCATTGTTGTTGAGTCTGTTCCAACTCACAATAATCCTACAGGACAGAACAGAATTAGTGCATTTGAAGAGTGTGGTGAGGAATACTGCAAGTACCAAGGACTGCTTAAAGGACAAACCCTTGTGTCTTGAGAGAAGAATGGCCAGTGCTCTTTGGGGCAAGGCTGGCGAGACTTGGCCTTACATACTTTGGAAATGGTGTCAAGAAAGACCAGTTCCTGAAGAAGGACATGATGCTTGGTAGAAGAGCAGCGAAAACGAGAAAGGCCCTCAGAGGTGGACTCGACACCGTGGCTGCAACAACGGGCTCCGGCATAGGAACAATTGTAAGGATAACACGAGTCCAGGGAGTGCTCTGTTCTGTTTTGCCGAAGGTCACTCACTATGGGTCGGAACCAACTTGATGGCCCCCAAACAGTAGAAGTGTTCCACTGGGTTTCCAAGTCGGTAACTCTCTACAGGCACAGCAAGCCTCGTCTTTCTCTTGTGGGGTAGCTGGAGGGCTTGAACCTCCAAGCTTGAGGTTAGCAATGCAATAATTAACCCATTATGCCACCAAGCTCCTAATAAAATACCGAGAATAAACAAAAATGTATGAAGACCAACGTGGTTACTGAGGCCTTGGGAAAAGACGGAATGAGAGGACTCATGAAGGAGTACTGGTTTTCTGTTTGGAATGATTTAAAACTCTGGAAAATGGACAGTGATGGTGGCACCCCGATTATCGGGAATGTCAATAATATCATTTAATTGTACAATTCAAAATGGCTAATAAGCAAACTTTCTGTTATGTATATTTTAGCACACTCGCACGCGTGCGTGCACGTGTGTGTGCACACACACTTAAAAAAAATGAACGCTGACAATTGGGAGAAGTTGAAGGTCGCTCCCAGCGCCCTAGCACAGTCAATCTCTATCGATCCCCTACAACGCCTGACAGGATAACCCAAAGGCACCCAAAAGGGAACTCAAACAGCCCCTCCTGCTCTCTCTCAAGCTCCCACCAGTTTCAACCTGTTCTCTCACTCTCCATCCTTGGAACCCTCAGCCTCCCACTGCCATGGAGCCAGCTGCTTCCTAGGCCACACCTATCATTCGTTTAGGCCTCCCTACGAATTACCAGACTTCCACCCCAGCCATCCTCAATGTCTTCAACCTCCCTACAGCAATTTCTGTAACACACCACGAACCCGAGGTCTTCACTGAATCACCTCCCCCCATGCCTCTGAGGTAGGTCACGCCAAAGGCTCTCCTCTGGCCGCTGTCTGCCCCCTCTCCATAATCACATTCACGTCCCCAGCTCCAATGCTAGAAACAGCTCTCAATCCTGTCTCTCTTGGCTTTATCGCCAAATACAATCCCAAATGACTGAAAATTAGCTCTGGCTGCATATTCCACCTTGACAAATAAATCTGTGAATCAATACTGAAGAATGCATAGAAAGTGGGCAACAGCTCTAAGTATGTAAGTGTAAAGACTTGCATAACACCAAAAAATGTGTAGACCCTGGATCGTTCCCCCTCCCACCCCCAACGGTTGCATTGGTATAGAATTCACAAACCATACAATTCAATGGCTCAGTCACATCAGGAAGAGTTACATAATCATCACCACCATCAGTTTTAGAATATTTTCTTCACTCTTGTACTCATTGTTATTATCTGCCCATTTCCCCCTAACTTCCCCGGCCATGCCACCAAGGAACTATGTCTCTATAGATTTACTTATCCTGAATTTCATATACAGAAAAACAAACAAAAATAAGAATAACAAACAGATAAAAACCTCAATCAAAAAGAAAACAGAAAATACTAAAAACTAGAATAAATTTAATAGATCATAGGGAGATCAAATGATAGTGTTGCTAAATTCTAACATAACTGCATCTGCAACAATCCACTTCCAATTGCATTCTGGGTGTCTTTTTTAATACATTGATACAATGGTGCTCTGGTGGTACAATGGCTAAGCATTAAGTGGTTAACTGAAAAGGTGGTAGTTCAAACACAACAACAGTTGAGAGAAAAAAACCTGCCAAATCTTCTCCCACAATGATAACACCTACGAGATCCCTACGGGGCATGATCTGGATCTAACCTCTCATGACAGGTCTCTGTAAATTAAAATCAACGTGATTTTAACAACAGATCTCACATAATAAATATGATGCCCACTGTTGTTGTTGTTGTTGTTGTTGTTGTTGTTGTTGTTAGGTGCCACGGAGTCAGCTCCGACCCATAGTGACCCTAGGCACAATAGAATGAAACAGTGCACGGTGCTGTGCCAGCCTCATAATTGTTCCTAAGTCTGAGTCCATTGATTGATGCAGCCACTGCTTCAATCCATCTAGTCAGGGTTCTTCCTCTTTTTTGCCGCCCCTTCACTTTATGGAGTATACTGTCCTTCTCCAGGAACTGGTCTCTTCTGACAATATGTCCAAAGTATGTAAAGACAAAGTCTTGCCAACCTCGCCTCTAAGGAGCACTCTGGCCTTAAGTTCTTCTAAGACAGATTGGTTTGTTCTTTTAGCGGTCCCAAGTACTTTCAATATTCTTCTCCAGCACCAAAATTAAAATGTTTCAGTTATTCTATGGTCTCCCATCATCAACATCAAATGTGTATATGATGCAGTGGAAAACACCATTGCTTGGGTCAGGCGCACCTTAGTCCTTCAAGTAACATCCTTGTTCTTCGATATTCTAAAGAGCTCTGGGCAGCAGATTTACCTGATGCAACACATTTTCAGATCATGCTGCTTCCAGGAGCATTGATTGTGGATCCAAATAGAAACAAAATCTTTGACAACTTCAACCTCATTTGCCTTCATATAATCCAGCATCTCTGATGATTCGCTCAGCACACAGAGTGAACAAGTATGGTGAGAGGATACAACCCTGATGCACACCTTTCCTGATTTTGAACCATGCAGTATTTATTCCCTTGTTATGTTCTCACAACTGCCTCTTGATCCATGCACAAGTTCCACATGAGCACAATCAAGTGTTCTGGAATTCCCATTCTTCTCAAGGTGATCCACAGTTTATTATGGTCCACACGGTCGAACGCTTTGCATACTCAATGAAACACAAGTAAACATCTTTCTGGGATTCTCTGATTTGAGCCAAGATCCATCTGACATCAGCAATATTCTCCCTTGTTCCACATCCTCGTTTTAATCTGGCCTGAACATCTGGCGGTTCTGCCAATGTATTATCTTAAGTAAAATGTTACCCCAGTTAATTCATGTAAAGTGCTTAGAACAATGCAAACAAACAATAAGTGCACTGGTGGCACAGTGGGTTAATCACTAGACTACTAACAACAAGGTCAGCAGTTCAAAACCACCAGCTGTCCTCAAGAGAAAGATGAGGCTTTCTATTCCGGCAAAGAGTTAAGAGTTTCAGAAACCCACAGGTGCATTTGACCCTTTTCTGTAGGGTGGCTATGAATTGGCATCTACTCCATGGCAATGGGTGACTATAATTATTATGAAACACGATATTTAGCATTATACCTTAAACACTATCTGTAATGTATAACATATAATATGCCGTTTTTTATACACCTGCTGTATTTCATGATTTGGGGCTGGACATCCCAATATATCAAAGAAAGGAACAAGCTCACATGTGTCTGAAATAATAAATATCAGACTGTTAGGCAAAGCTGATGTACTAGATGAGAAGACATATAAGATTCCGAAGACAGTGTTAGTGTAGGCTCCTGCAGAAACCATGCTACATTAAACTCACTGTACCAATGCCAAATCAATTTCATTTCCAATCAGCTTGCATGCCAAAGTAGGAGGACCACTGTTCCAGACTGCTCATACTGAGCTAGCACATTTCCTAGGGCAAAGCCTTATCAGGACGAACATCAATTAGGTCTGTCATAAGATACCATTTTTCTGGTTAATTTTGCTGGCAAGAGTACTGGAGATATTTAACACTATTAACCCCCAAAACACAACTTCACTAGCAAAACAGTGACCGTTCCATATTTGAAATATAGGATCAAAGTTACAAAAGCAACGTTCCCCTAAAATAAGGCGCCTAGTCTGCTTGTCCTCTCTTCCTTGAGCTGGTAGAACCAGGGCCTCCTGGTGCAGAAAGTTGCTGTTCGGTGGTCATTTGGTTCTCTCAGCTACCAACTACATGGCACACGGTAGCAGTAACACGTGCTCAAAATTTAGTTTTTTTAATAAAGCGTACGGGGGAAAGTGGAGAAAATTCTATCAATTGTTTTCCCCCTCCTATAGTGAGGAAGGAATACTGTCATTCCAGCCCAGAGTTCAGAAAACAGAATTCTACTCAGATAAAGGAAATTCATCCCATCTACAAATACATACTGAGTGCCTGGGATATCCCAGCACAGTCTGCTGTAAACCCTGGGAAATATCCCAAGTCACAAAGACCCACTGTCTGGGTCTGTTTCCCCGGACACTAGCTTAGAAATCAGTAGCAAGAGCTGAATTTAAACTGAGCGGCAGGACCAGGTTAAAACTCAACTTCCTGTCGCTCACCCCAGTGAATTAAAGTCATTTTTGCCTTTCACATTCCTGAGCAAAGCTCCAGAGCTAGGATTATGCCTGCTTTTTGTCGTACTTCACCGACACCGCATGGTACTTAGCACTTTCAAGTACCTTGCGTTGATTTGAAAGCAACTGTAGCAACAAAGCAAGGCCTGCGTGAACACGCACCTCGATGTTCTTACTGGCCACGTTCTTCACAACGGCAGGAAACAGTTCGGACGCATTTTTCCCTCTGGCCACCATCTGAAAAATAAAAGGGTTGCATGACGGTGAAACGCTTTTTGTGTTTTGTTTTTTTTTAATTAATTATTTGGAAATAAAACAGGCAGTCTGGGAAATCCTAGGTACATTAACTATATCCAAGGTTGCATCAACATATAAACTATGGTGGATTGGCAGCAGGGAGAGAAATAACTTCATTTCACATAAACCAATTTTCCCTTTGCTTTCTTGTCATAGGCTCCCTACTTCTCCATCTGAGGTAGTTAGTTTATTGTGCCAGCCTGGCCGATAAACACACGTGGGATTAATTGAAGGGCAGAGAGATAAATGGCTTGGTGAGCCTCGCCTTTCTTGTCTCTCGTTCTTTGAACATCGGACCAGTGTGCTGCTGCCTTGCCTGTTCTGTGCCTCAATTTGCAAGCTACACTACCTGTGGGACACCTAACCTGTGGACTGTGTCACTGTAATTTGAGGGTCCTTCAAGACCTGCTTCACCACACAATTGGAATTTACATCTCTTGAGCTGGAGACTGACTGTGGGTGACCTGACTGGCTGTTGGTGACCTGCCTGGCTATTTGCTGCCGGTGCCCGGAGAAGCTGAATCTCTCTACAGAGGACTACCTGGCGGCCCTCAAGACTTGAAGGACTGCCAGTGTCTCACAACTGTCTAACACATTTGAATTGTACTGAGATATTTGTACTGCTTTATAATTTAACTGTTTATTTCTTGTGTTATATATCTGTCTATCTATATAACTTCTTTACAATTTAACTGTTTATTTCTTGTTATATATCTATCTATCTATCTGTATAACTGCTCTATAATTTAACTGTATATTTCTTGTGTTCTATATCTATCTGTATAACTGCTTTATAATTTAACTGTTTATTTCTTTTGTTCTATATCTATCTATATAAATATGTATATATTTATATATAATTATTAGCAATCTGGTTTTGTCTCTCTAGAGAACTCTGTCTAACACACCATCATTTTTCAGAATCCCGTTCACTGAGACTTTGTCCTGCGTCCCCCAAGGTTCTGTGCACCATCTTCTCAAGTTCTGCTGTTCTTCACTCTTTGAACCTGCTAGGATTTCATTTATACTTGTGATTTAACCCTCAGCTCTATGGGGGGTGAATTCCCCAAACAGTACTGCTGAAATAAATTCTTAGCACAAAGTTCACACCTCTAACTAGGTGAATGTCGTTTCCTGCCAAAATTGTCCAATATAAAATCGAACTCATCTTTCACAGTGTAGTGTTTTTCCTGTTTGAACTTCTGATTTCTACTAATTCTTTGAGGTATCAGACAGCAAAGAAAGAGTGTAGCCTCTTTGCACACATAAAGTTGACTCCAAAACACCCAGTTGCCAGAGTTGGTCTGACTCAGGGCAATCCCATGTGTCCTACAAAGTAGCGCCTGGCTTCACACTGTTTTCCAGACGAGAACCTTTGAGGGGCTGATTGCCAGGTCTTTCTTCCAAGGTTCCTCTGGGTGGAATTGAACACTCATTTTTTCTTAGTGGTGCTTTCCCAGTTGTGCCACTGGGGACACTTTTACATTAGCTGACGCTGTGTGTCAGTTGGTCGATCCCGTCTTATAACATCCTCCTATGGTAGATTAGAATTGTCCCAGAGGGTGTCCTACGCGATCATCACCAGGGCTTCTCTCCCTCGGGGCCGCTGGTGGATTTAACTTGCCAGCTTTTCAGACAGTGCGATGGCGCCACCACATCTCCGTGCATATTGACTGTAGTTGTTATGTGCATCGACCAGTTCTGATTCACAGTGGCCCTACGTACTACAGAACCAAGCGCTGCCTGAGCCTGTGTCACCCTCACCACTGTTGCAGTCACTCTGTCAATCCCTCTTTGACAGTGACCCTCCACTTTATCAAGCAGGATGTCCTTCTCTGGGAACTGGTCTCTCCTGACAACAAGTTCAAGGACATGAGATGAAGTCTCATCCTCTATGCATCTAACCTAATGACCAGACGTCCCGCTTTTTGGTGTTTTAAAAAAAGTTCAGATTTTTTGAAAGAATGCACGACAAGCTAGGGAACGGTTTATTTGGTCCATATAGACCAAATTTTTAATCAAGAACCCCTCCCACCTCTCCGGTCAATGGTGTCCCACTTTAAATCTGGTCACCTTAATCTAAGCAGCATTCTGGTCACACATACTTGTTCCAAGAGAGATTTATTTGTTCTTCTGGAAGTTCATGGTACTTTCAATATTCGTCATTAATACCATAACTCAGATGTACCAATTTCTCTCGTTCTCCTTATTCGTTGTCCAGCTTTCACATGAATATGAGGGCAGTGAAAATATCATGGCTTGCATGAGAAACATTACGGTCCTCAATGTGACATCTCTGCTCTTTGATACTTCAAAGAGGTCTTGTACAACAGATTTGCCCAGTGGAATACATTGTTTGACTGGTGCTTCCATGAGCACTGGTTTTGGATCCAAGTAAAATGAAATCCGGGCTTCAATCTTTATTTATGATGATGCTGTCCTGCAGTCCAGTTGAGCGGATTTGGGTTTTCTTGACATTGGGTTATAACCCACACTGAAAGCTGTAGTTTCTTATCTTCATCAGTAAGTGCTTCAGAGTACAACTTCCCCAGTGGGTTTTCAAAGTCCTAAATCTTTACAGAAGCAGACTAGATGTTTCCTGGAGAGTGGCTAATGGGTTCAGTTCCCAGGCAAATAATTAATCATTGTGCCACCAGACCAGGTCCTAAATGAAGAATACCAAAATTACTGCCATCAAGTAGATGCCAACTCATAATGACCCTATCTGTAGGACAAGGTAGAACTGCCCCTGTGGGTTCCAAGACTGTAACTCCTAAGAATAGGGAAGGGATAAATATTCTCTAAAGCCCCTAGAACCCACCAGCCACTCCACTGGAGGACGAGGCTTTTACTCCCATAAACAGTTACAGCCCTGGAAACCCACAGGGCAGTTCTACCCTGCTCTATGAGGTTACTATGGATCAGAACCAAAGCAGTGGCAGTGAGTCTGGTTTTTGTTATTTTCCCTTTGGAGGGCCCTATCCATTCAGTTGTCCAGTGATTTTCTAAAATCAGCTACCATCACCTAATTATCAAAACCCAAGGCTTCTGGAACTTTGTTCTTTAGAAGGCTGTTCAAAAAGATTTTCATATTGGGAGGGGGGAATGACTACGGTCAAGTTCATCTAATAATATAGTATACTAAGAACTAATTTAGGCCTTGAGGATACAATCATGAATACTACGAAGTTCTTACATGAATGAAGTTTATCTTTTAATGGGGGTGGGGGACTATGGGGCAAAGCAAGAGGGGCGCAATAAGCAAATGAATATAAAATGTGAGGCCATAACAGAAGTTGGTATTGTGGAGGAAAAATACACTGGAAAGGACTGCAGCAGGGTGAGCGTTACCAGGCATATGTTACATAAGATGGTCCAGCCTTCATTTTGAAGCAGCAACTCAACGGAAATGAGGACGTTGGAAGCTTGCAACTATCTAAGGAAACAGAATTGTAAGCATAGCCTGTTCTAGAAATAAAAGCATAGTAACTATTAAATTACTGCTAATTTTCCTAAAGCAAATAATATCCTACTGAATAGCCTGTAATGCATATTACTTTGAAGTAACAGAACTCAATCATTTTAATTATAGGAATTTTCAAAGAAATTATCAGAGAAAGTTTCAAATTTGCTCATTATTCCATAACAGCAAAAGTAAGACTACTCCAAGGAAGACATTCAAGCCCAAACACTTACTTAACAAAGAAGTACATCTCAAATTTCCAGTAACTCACCACAGTTCACCAATCAAAGGTAAAACATGGAAATCCACTACAAACATGAAGCCAGTGTGTTTCAGAAATAACAAGTAACGTAATATATGCGTGTTTTGACTTCAGGCCTGCTGTGTAGTAACTGAATGTAAGGCTCTGAACTTGGAAGTTTTTCTCCCCTAAGGACACTTTGATATATATGAGACTACTATTCAACCTATAAGACAGTGAAGAATTACCCCACGATTCTTAAGCCGCTCTAGATATTACCCAAGAAAGATATAAAATGAACTGACTATCATTATGGGGTCTCACTGCTAGCTAGTGCTGATGAGATTCTCTGTTGAATCCTAGGACTACCAACTGTGAAAGATAAGTCAGTTGTGCGCTGCCAGCATTTCTATCTATTTTAGAATGCAATATGTAAAACAAACACGTAACAGGTAAAGTCCTGGAGGATAAAATTTAGAAATGTTTAAAGGTTGTTAGCTATGAAGCAAAGGCCTTAAAACTACACTGTGATAATAAGACAGGATAACATTCCAGTTCAAGGCTCATGAACCCCAAATTATAAAGAGGAGTTGAAAATTTTCAAATTACTTTAGGAAAAGAAATTCTGAGACCAACAATAAAATTCTGCTGACTGAGCACAGAAAACGACATATACTCAAAAGATGTGTTACCACACGCGTGAATGAACACACCAGAGCGCAAAATTTTAAAATCAAATTTTAAAGTTTCCAGAACAGACAAATGGCACTAATTAGAAATCAAATGTTAAAATAGACCAAAGTAATGGAGAGCAAGCAACTGTCACATGAGCAGGCTGAACATACGTTTTCCAACAAAGTGAATCTTGCTCGTCTAACAGAAAAGGTCGCTAGCAAACAGTGTGCTGAGATTACTGTCAGTGTCGAGTCAGCTCTAACTCATCCTGACCCTGCATGGGCAGCAGAGGGAAGTGCGCACTGCCTGTTCCTGTGCCTTCCTCACAAGCATTGCGTTGGAACCCACTGGGGCAGCCATTGGGTCAATCCATCTCCTTGAGGGTTGTCCTCGTTTTGTTATCCCTCGATTTTATAAACCATGATGTCCTTCTCCGGGGACTGACCTTTTCTGGTAACAGGTCCAAAGAATGTGAGATGAAGTCTCGCCATCCCGTTCTAAAGAACATTCTGGCTGTGCCTCCTTCCTCCAAGACAGTTCTGTTGGTTCTTCTGGCAGTCC